GACTCTGTGTGTCCCTTCAATCATGGTTTTTTGTTTGTTTTTTTTTAAAAAAAATGTATTACTTTTTGTGCATGTACCATCAAATCAGATCAGACTGATACAGGAGGAAATTGTCCCTCCTTCTCCGGCAGAGCATCTGGTGGATTCGAACCATGTACCTTTGGGATTGCAGTACAGCTTCTTGCCAGTAGGCCACCAGAGCTCCCCTTTCAATCATGTTTTGATGTTTTGTATCACTAAATAATTTGTTCATTGAATCCTGATTCTTGTGTGTGATTCCATCTGGTAAAATCCCTGTGTGTAGTCCCATTTATGTTCCAACTTTTTATTATTATTATTAATTTGAATGTGTTCCAACTTTTGCATTATCATTACTCATAATTATCAAAGCATCTTGACTGCATCTCTGATCATTGTCAGACTGTAGAACTTGGTCAAAGTTTTCAAATTCCTCAATTTTTACCATTAGTGAAATCAGTGAAACCCCATTGTTCTACTGAGACATTTGAAGGGCTCTTTAGTGAGAATTGATAGAAACTGTTCCTTAGGATAAGCTTTTGCTACTTAGAATCGTGAAAAGAATAGTATTCTGGTCTGGTTAAAGCCTTTGCCACCAAGAGGGCCCAACAGCTCAGTGATTAAGGAAGTGCTTGGCTACTGACCAAAATGATGATGGTTTGGACCCAGATAAGTGGTTCTCTAAGAGAAAGACCTGAATATATGCCAATAAAAATTATAGCCTAGTATAAGTTATGTTTACTGCATTGAAGTCTATGAGGGAGAAAATAGTTTAAAAGTATTATATTTTAGGGCATTACGTTTATCATAGGAGTATGGAATGAGGGTTGCAGAGCGGATTATATTGGGGGTGGGGGTGGGGGTGGGGGTGGGGGGTGTGCAGGGGGGATTGTATACCAATGAAGGAGTTTTCCTTTTGCTTTTCAAGGAGAGAAGCGAACTGGGTGGTGGGGGAGACGGGGAAGAAAAGTGCAACAATGAATGAATGAAATTCCGAAATCTCTGTAGATGTTCATTGAAATAAAAAAAAAATATAGCCTAGGCAGTTATAGTTAAGTTCTCTCTGTCTGTATTGACATTAGTCAGTAGAGACACAATAGTAAACACAATAGTGTTTGCTTTACCATATCGCGGTGCCACATCAAAGCAGGAATTAGAGAAAGTCACCAACTGCTTCTTACATCTGATGGCCTCTTCTTTTGTGATCTGTTTTGTTCTGTCTCATGGGTCATATTAGGACTACAGAGCCCTCTCCTGCTTCTCCCAGAATGGCTACTGAGAGAATCCAATAGCAGGAAGCCGAAGTTGCGCTTTTTCTCTCTGTGAAACTACGCTACCCTCATTTTCCTAGGAAGAGTTATCTGACACCCCAGCCCGCTTCCATATCTTGAAGGAAGCATCTGTATGCATCTCCTTCCCCAGTTCCCCCGTCAGAAAGCATAAAATCCCCCTCTAACTCTTAATGGGAGCTGGTCTTCTGCTTGGGAGCAGCCTGGCAGTTTCCCGTCAATAAACTATCTTTCTTTACCTGCACTGGGTTCTGTTCTTCCTCAGAAACCTTACAGATCGTTCTAACTGCTTGTTGGACTTTTGCATGGGAGATCTCCAAGAGTTGCACCAGCTCGGTGGGTTGGTCAGTCAACATCCAACGCGGAGAAATAAAATGACTCACTAAAGGAGTGAGCCAAGAAGTGATTTGATAAGGAACTTGGTAATACATAGATCTCCTGTCTCTTTCCTATACTAACTCATATACCAAGAATTTCACTAATTCTAGGAACCTTTTCTTTTTTTAATTTTATTACTTTTTGTGCATGTACCGTCAAATCAGATCTGACTGGTACAGGAGGAAATTGTCCCTCCTTCTCCGTCAGAGCATCTGGTGGATTTGAACCGTGTACCTTTGGGATTGCAGTACAGCTTCTTGCCACTAGGCCACCAGAGCTCAAAGTTAGATCCAATTTCTTTACCTGGCTGAAATTTGGCACCAGTGGCCATTATCACTTTTGCCCATTAGACATCATTCCCATTTTCATATTCATTTCCTTTGGCACTTTGGAAAAGTTCCCGAATGCAGTACCCAAAGGAAAAGGGAACTAATGGATTCTGTGTCATTCAAACTTCCAAGCCAACACCCTCAAGGTGCTGCACCCACCCACAAGCCTCTTGGAAAACTAGAGCTCAAGAGAAGAGACCTATTCCATTCTGTTAGTTCTGAAGAGCCGCCGTTCTCTACGAGAAGACTCCAGAGTGTGTGGACAGCCAGGGCTTTTCCTCTCGGTGGGTAAGTAGGACCTACTTTAATATTTTTTGATAAGAAAAGTTTTACTGTGAGCTTGGGTCTAGAAAATATTTTTTCCTTTTACAATATTCCCAGAGACCTCGTTGTAAGAGCTGTTATTTTATTTCTTAAAAGTTGCTCTCTGATCCTATATCACTTCTAATCTGTGAAACAGATGAGGGAAAGAACAGATTAGAAGTGATATATGATTGAGTATTATGGTTAGCACAGGAATCCAGAATTAAGGTTGCATAGAGAAGTGTACTCGGGGTGGGGGTGGGGGGGAAGAGACGTGGGAATTGTATACTAATGAAAGAATTTTTTTTCTTTTTCTCTTCGGAGGGGGGAACGAGCTGGTGGGGAGGGATGGGCACGGAGAAAAGTGCGGAAATGAATGAATGGAAATCCAAAACCTCTACAAATGTCTATTAAAATTATTAATAATAATAATAAAGGTTGCTCTCTGATCCTCCCCCCCTTTTTTTCATCCTTCCACTTCTGCCTGAGTAGGGGTGTGTGTGTGTGTGTGTGTGTGTGTGTGTGTGTGTGTGAGACATCATGATAGAATGGAATATACTGAAATGCTTTAATATCATCCTTCTGCATTTACCACCACCACCACCAGTTCTGTCATGTCAATCTTCATCCATACCATCATCATCATCCACTTTTACCATCATCTTAGCAAGGAAGCGGCCACTCTTAATAACATACAAAGTACAAGAGATAAAATGCTATGTCTTCACTTCCAAGGAGCAGTCAGCTGTTCTTCTGGAAACAATTTGTTCACTGATCTGGCATCTCGTGATACATTCAGTTCTGCACCAGTACAGTGATGGAGAAGATGGTGAGTTGAAAATTAGTGGATAAAGGTGAATCAAACTGATAAAACTCCAAGAAGAGCTGACCAAGCTGAGAACATAAATAGTTTGTAGTTTAAAATGGGGGCGTGGGGGGACGCAACAAAAGGCATCAGGTAGTTGAGCAAGTTCTCGCAGTGAATTAGTATCCTTTTCATAGGCTAAGGTGCGATGGTGGCATGGTGCGCTTTATGTTTGACTGCCAACCAAGAGCTCAGTAATTCAAACATGCCAATTGCTGCACAGAAGAAAGATGGGCAGATTCTTCTCATAAAGACTTATAGCCTTGGAAACGCAAAGTATAATAGGTGGGAGTATTAAAACTTGCTCAGCTCCCTCCACAACCAACACTTTCAGCAGCGGCAGTCAGGAAATCCAAAAGACGAATTGTATTGGGAAAATCTGCTGTCAGGGACCTCTCTGGAGTACTGAAAAGCAATGATGTCAGTCTAGAGACTAAGGTGCACCTAATCCAGGCTATGGTCTTTACAATTGTTACGCTTCAGAGAGCTGGACAATGATTAAAGATGACAAAAGATGAATCGATGCCTTTGAGTTGTGGTGCTAGAGAAGAGTCTTGAACATACCATGGGCTGCGGGTGAAACCAAATTTCTCCTTGGAAGTTAGGATTTTGAAGCTCTGTCTCACATACTTTGGGCATGTGGCCAGGAGAGACCAGTCCTTGCAGAAGGACGTCATGCTCAGAAGGATTGGAGTACAGCACAGGAGAGGAAGACCCTAGAGGAAATGGATCGATACAGTAACTGGGGCAATAGAGGTTGTTGTGTTGGAATTAGTGAAATTGGCTCAGGACAGGGCAGGCCTCAGAGTTACATAGGGCTGCTATAGGACACAGGCGACTTGACGGCAAATAACAACAGCTCTAAACAAACACTTGAGCACATTAAACGCTAGGTTCACTTGTCTTCACTGCATGTTGGTTTCACAGTATGCCCTTATTTAAATACATTATTAGGAGACACCAGTTCTTGGTGATACACAGAGGTAAAGAATAAAAGTAATCCCTCAGAAATACAGATGGACATAGTGACTGCAGCAACGACCTCACACACGGCAGCAATTGTGATGATGGCACAGGAATAGGCAGGGCTTTGTCCTCTTGTACAAGGGAGTAAGCCGGAGCTGACTTGACAAAGCTTAGCATGCCACTGGGCATTTGTGAGCTTTCAAAGGTATGATATTTACAAAGCACTTTAATAAAATGCTTGGCGTATAGTAAAAATTGCACAAATGCATTTAGGAAATGTGAAAAGAAGGGATAGAAGTCTCTTTATGAAAAGTTTATTTACAGCCAAGGTTTTAATAGATAATATTCAGTTAATTAGTTCAGTTGTTGTTGTTGTTGTTATGTGCAGTTGAGTCACTTATGCCTTATAGCGATCCTAAACCCTGCTCTATTCTTTGCCAATCTTATTGTCTCTAATACGCCTATCCCCATTACCCCAGTGACTGAATCAATCCATCTCATAGAGCGTCTTTCTCTCATGTGCTGTCTCTCCACCCTCCCAAGCATGATGTCCCTCTCCAAGGACTGATCTCGCCTTGCAACATGTCCAAAGTATGTAAGAATATTTCAGAATCCTTGCCTCCAAGGAGCAGCCTAGATTCACCCTCTCCGGGATGAACTTGTTTGTTTTCCCATCAGTCCATGGTATATTCAATACTCTTCTCCAGCACCACAGCTCAAAGGCATCAGGACTGTGAGAAATTAGATATTCCTTTGAAGTAGCCCTTCTCAGAGCACTGTTTTTTTATTGTAAGGTCTTCTTCTAACTCTTTCCAATTGTGATCACTACTGAGGAAGGGATCAGTCCTCAACATGCAAAGCTGTGGTAATAAATAGTCACTATCACTACCACGACTATCATCACCATCAGCTCCATCACCACAATTAGTATCTCTGTCATTTCATTCAGGTACCATCACCCCCACCAACATCAGGACCACCATTACTGTTATCAGAAACACCATCACCACCACTGCCATTACTGGTAGCACCATCATCACCGTTGCCGTCATTCCCTTCATCATCACCGTCTTTAACAGAACCACTGTTACCATCATCTGTATATTCATCGCCACCACCATCGTCACCAACTTCCCATCACCACCACAATCACCATTTTCTCCATCTCCATTTCTACCAACACCACAATCACCACCACTACTATCCCTGCTCTGTTCTCTATCACCACTACATCTATCCTTATCCGCACCACCGCCTTCATCACCACCACTTCCATTATTATTATTCTGTACAGTCTTTGCAATTACGTGCTATGCATCAGAGAGTTGGACAGTGACTAGGGATGATAGAAAGAGAATTGATGCCTTTGAGCTGTGGTGCTGGAGAAGAGTGTTGAATATACCATGGAGTGCTAGGAGAATGAGCAGGTTTGTCCTGGAGAGGGTGAAGCTGGAATGCTCCTTGGAGTCAAGGATTCTGAAGCTTCATCTGACATACTTTGGGCATGTTGCAAGGAGGGACTGGTCCTTGGACAGGGACATCATGTTTGGGAGCATGGAGGGATGGCACAGGAGAGGAAGACCCTCGATGAGATGGATCGATTCTGTGAGTGGAGCGGTGGGAATTAGTGTGTTTGAGATGGCTAGGTTGGCACAGGATAGAACGGCATTTAGAGCTCTTGTACATAGGGTTGCTATGAGTCGCAAGCGACTCGATGACACGTAACAACAATAACAACAATATATCGTCACGACTAAGACCATTGTCACCACTGCTATTACTATCACTTTTTTTCTTTTCACCACCAACACCACTGCCACCATCAACACCGTCATAAATGACTGTTATTCTCAGATTGTTGTTGTTGTAGTTGTAGTTGTTAATGATGTGTACTGTCATATTGGAACTGACACGTAGCTGATCCTCCAACAGGTTTTCAGAGGCAGTAAATCACACAAGAGGAGATTGTACATCCCACATTAAATATCACTAATATAATCACCACTATCAATACCATTATCTTTCCATGTACTTATCACATTTACCATTATTTAATTTTTGCTATTTGCCAGAGAGGAGTTAAATGGTAGGGAAGATCCTCTCAATGCATTATCACGATGACTGTGATCTATTAAATACAGGATCTTTCTTAGCCACATTCTGCAGATGAGAAAATTGAGGCTTGCCTCAAGATTACTAAGTAATATTAGCTTTGGGATTCTGATTCAGGTGTAGTGAATGCTATCTAAGTGTTTTATAGAAAGTCGGTAACTGGATAAGGTTTTAAAAGAGAATTTCCCAGACTCAAAAGAATTCAAAACTTCAATGTCAGAGTAGATTTAATCTATCAAGATATGAATATGGAGAAGGGATGAAGCTACTAAAAAAAGCCACTTCTGTTTGCCATTTCCATTTTCTTTCTTAAAAGTATCTATGAGGGCAGTTGTACATAGGGTCGCTATGAGTCGCAAGCAACTCGACAGCACGTAACAATAACAACAACATTACTATTACTATTTTATTATTACGAAGGAAATGCTTAAAATTGATCATTAAAATAGGCGAAGAGGAAACATTTTCAAATCGCTCATACCATTCCCTGTCATCATTTACAATTCTTTTAAATACGACATTGTATAGTTTACTAGGTAGCTGGCGTCGAATTCCAATGGTGTGACAGAACTGCTTTCTGTGCTATATTGCATTGTTGTAAAAATGTAAGAAACGTAGTCTTGCAACTTCAACATTTTACACATGGACAACTCAGGACGCCAATTTCTATGTTACTTTAAAAGCTTCCTGTAACATAATTCATGTTTATGGCAATGGTTTCTTTTGTTCCACATACTTATTTTTCCTTGTTCTGCATCTTTAGTAAATTATTATATTCACAAATAACATTACAGCAGCCAAAAAGAAATGTAATGTAGTCTTAGGGTAATTATGTACTCTTGGGATAATAATGCTGCAAAGTAACGCAAACATTAACACCTCCGCTGTTTGCTGCAGGGGAGGTCTGAAATCTACAGGAACCATAACTTACATGCACACCGTTAAAGGCTACCTTTCTTCCCACTTAGATTTTGTGAAACGATTGTCCTTAGCTTTTTAGATGCCTCTTCCGCATCTGTGTTTTATCACTAATGAAGGCTTTTATCACTTTTTGAGTGGTTCAGCAAATCTACAGAGTGTGCTATCTTTGCTAATGTGCACAAAACCTTGTATCCTAAATTCAATTTCCTGTTGAAATTACATTACAACAGGTGGTATATTTTAAAATTATACCCATGGGGAAAATATTTATTACACTGTTTTTACAGTTTATTTGAAAGGTTGATTTATACTGAGGATATAAAGAGACCATTTGCCATCAAGTTAGCACTGGCTCATGGCGCCCCCACGTGTGCCATTGTAGAATTGCACGCTGTAGGCTGATGATCTTGGCTGGCATCTGTGAAGACAGCTCCACCTCAGGCAGGTACAGGTGGGCCTGAGGGCTCCTGCCATGCACCAGCACCAAAGACACAACTGAGCTAATCCTCACATCCAGGGCTCCATCCTACCGCTCTGCCACCGACCTCAGCTGGGGCCAGAAAAGGGTGTCCTGCTCCGTGTTATTTGTATGCTTGATGGTCTTGATAGTCCATGTTAGAGGTACAATACCTACCTGTCAGTTCCTTATATTGGGGATTGATTTGCATGTTCTTGTGGCTTTGTAGTAAGAAACTGTACTGTGATCCCAAAGGCACAAGGTTCGGATACACCAGATGCTTCGTGGGAGATGCTTCTGTGCAATTAACTGCCTCTGAAACCCCACTGAAAAATCAGCTAGGGGTAATTTTCCTGACTCAACAGTAACTATTACTTTATAGATGGGTGTTTATAAGCTTGCTTGTTTTTTGTTTGCTCTTCACTTGTCTGTCAGTCCACTTACTGAAATAATGTGTGGGTTCCAACTCTATGGTACACAACAATATATAAATATAACACATAAATATCATGTATTTGTTGTTGTTGTCGTTATGTGCCATCGAGTCACTTGCGACTCATAGCGACCCTATGTACAACAGCCCTAAACCCTGCTCTGTCCTGTGCCAATCTCACTGTCTCTGATACACCCATCCCA